GTTTTCTTTGATGCATTCTGCTCCATAAATGCTGTCTCTGAGACAAATCAGGTCATGTCGAGCCAGGCCCACAAAGGCATCGAGGTGACTCAGTCCTGTGAATTCAATGGGAGTCAGGTGCCTACATTTCTTTGTAACCTTGAGTGACATCAGTAGGAACATGCATTTTGCTCTAGTCAAGGTTAGAGTATGGGCTGAGATGCACCTTAACCCCTCAAGTACCACAAGCTGATTCAGCACTACTTCACCTAGCTCACTGAAGGAAAGACTTCCATACCTTACTGCAGGTGTCATGAGAAAGGAATGACCTTAGGTCCCTATATGTTTTCATGGAGAACACAGGTTGGTATCTTTATCTTAACAGTTGGGTATCATGTTTCCCTTGTGTTATGAAGCGGCTTATTGATAACTGTCACTGGTCCTATGGATGTCAAGGCCCTAGCCAATACTAATGCATCCTCTGGTAAAAGCTGTGTAAATCCTAAATCTGGACTTGTGGCACACAGGTTTCAGAATACCAGGACACAGCAATGTGAATGGAAGGGCTCTGGGATTGGGTGTCATGTTAAAGAGGAGCTCCTAGGTAAGGACAGAGAGGAGATGGGTATCAGTGACAACTGAGTCTATAGCAACCTGATCCTAGGATGAACATTAAGGCAGTTGATACATGCTATATATTAGTGGGCAGAGAAACACCAGGAAAGGGGGAGCTATAGAAAGGGGCAGAGGAGACAGTATAATATTGAAAGACCTTTTAATGGAACAGTCAGTTCGTTCTTCATCTCTCCGTCCCAGCATCCAACATACAAATCTATGTGATTATTTTTCCAAGGATGGGCAGTGAGGTACACCACAAGAGGTAAGTAGGCAAACAACAAGCAAAGACCAAGCAATCAGTTCCCTTCTTTCTTGCTCTTTGTGTGGCTGCAAACACACGGAATATCTGGAAAACATCTAGTTTCTTCATTTCTCCTTTCCTGAGGTACCAGAATGTGGGATGTTTTAGAAGGGCCTGAAGGTTATAGTAACACTGTCTTCATTCTTTGCCGTATTTTGACCCCTCTGTAAGCTGTGGGTTTGGAGATGGAAGGTGGAAAGGTTACCAGAGATCAGAAATCTTTTTGGGGTCATGGATTCATGCCATTGCCATCTTCCTAGTACCCAAAAACTAACCTCTGCCCTTAGACATTGATGTCATATCTCCTACTCTCCACTATGTGACAGCAAGGTAAATCTCACAGGAACTGTCTGCCTGGGAAGGGATGTCCTAGAAACCTGGAGGTGTGGCAGACAAGCAGATGGAGATGGTGAGAGGATCATCCCTCTAGGACTGGAAAGATGTTGTGGGCTGTGTAGATAGAGACATCAAAACTTTGCAGTGTGTTCATAAAGGCAAAGCTTTGGACACTGGCTTCAATGGGGATGGTCCTGACTATGTACATCCTTTTATACATCCATAGAGCTATGTATCCACCCACCTCAGTGATTTCAACTCTTTTGCCATGGAAGAATCCATGACTTGTTCCACGCTAAATGAAACAGAAGACATTTGCTCTGTGTAAAATGACAATACATTGCATGCACACTCACAATATCATGAATATGTCAATAGTAATGACTAGCATGAGTTTACTTTACACATAAATGTGTAAATGAAGGGGGAGTGTGATGGAATACTAGTATATAAAACTTAATCTTACCAGATCTGATTCCTGGCTGGGAATCCTAGTTTCTGTACAAACACTAGTAATAATTGTCACTTTATTCCAGCCACAATACTCCAGCCAAGATGTCATACATGCGTGGCAGATAGATAAGACAGGCAGATTTCTTGTTTTCCACTGAGATGCTTTTGAATACACCCTGGCAGGGCTGATTCACCCTTTTAGCTTTCCAAGGAAGATAAATTGCTTTCTAGGAGCTTCACTATATACAGGGTTTTTTTGAGCAGCTTCCTTAATTAAGGCTTATCTAATGTGTGCATAGTCCACAGATGAAGAGCCTTTGTCTTTTTTTTGTGTGAGCATAAGTTTCCCTCTGAACAATCTGTTTCTCACCCAACCCATTCTTATACAACATGACACACATACTGTGTGGATACCATGTCCTACCCCAGAAGTAGCTGCAGGCCAGTAGCCTGAAATAAGTAATTTCAAATGCTTCAGTGAGGAAGGACTGAATAGAAATGGGATTGCTGAGGGCCACAGTTGGCACAGACAAACTATTAGTACATTTCTTTCATCCATGGTCTTAAACTCCACCTCTGCCCCAGCTTCATATTTCTTATCTTTTACATCTGAAATTATGCTTAAAGCGCCCTGTTGGAATTACATTTTGTAGTTGCAAACCCTGTGATCTGGCAGGGACTCAAACTGATGTCATCCCAACTGGGATAAGAGGACCATGATGTCATCGGAACAGCAAAGGAGCCTTTTAGCTCTGTAATGCAGTAGGTGTGGGTGAGAGGTTTCAGTCTGGCCTCCCCGGAGAGAAATGTTCTCCCATTCCCTGCCAGGTACGGGTCTCTGCAAGTTCAGCTGTCAGAATAACAGGATGCTTGCTTCTTGTTGTGCTTCTTGCTGTGCCCAGGCCTCCTGCTAGCAGTGGGAAGCAGATAAACCTCAGGGCTTCATAGCCCAGGCACCAGATAGTTCCTCTGGAGGCAGAGAGGCATGAATTCAACACTTTATAATAGCTTCCCTGGTTGGCACAGGAAGTACGTGGGATTTGAGGGGTGCAAGGCCAGTGGCAAGACAGATCTCCCTTCGAGTCAATGGTTTTCATCTTTACTCAGGAATTAACAGTTTTGTCACATTCACTAATGGTTTTGCAGGAATTGGGCATATGAGACTGGACCTTTAGGGTCTAAACTGTCTTTCCAGTCTCCCAGTCCTGCTGCTGTTTGAAATAGGCTACAGTCGTTAGGGATAGACAGTCAAAGCTAGTGCATCTAAGTGTTACTCTCAGGAAGTACCTAGTCTATCTCCACATTGCTATGGCTACAGTGCAATGCAGCACTCTCAAGCTTTCCTTAAACCAGCTAGTCCAGGTATTAGTAGTTATGTTGCCACAGCAACACAGAACTTACTGCAAGCTGCAAAACTCACCTAAGGAGCAGGATGGATGAGCCTGTGCAGAACTGCACTACCCTGGCTGGATCACAGCTCTTCTGTGAACATGCTGCTTTAAAGGTACTTCCAAATCCCCTTGTACTGAAATGGGATGGGAAGTGTGCCCCAGATGCTGAATGATACAGTGCAGAATTACCTGTGTAAGCAAAAGATGTACATGAAGGGTTACAGCATGCTAACATCTGCATTGTCTTTACACATAACCATCACCTGCTCTCTGACAAGCTGAGATGAACATGAAAGCCCACTTTCCATATCACGTCATTTAATACATTTGGGGAAGTGTAGACATAACTGCTCCTCTGTGCCCCTGTGATAGGTATAACAACCGTTTTGTACCTGGGCATGGTGAGGAGCATGAAAACTCCTTGTGCTGAATTCTGTGTATTAATTTCAGTTGCATATTCATTCACAGGCTTTTTCACTCACTCTCTACATATGCATCCTGGTACCCAGTCTCACTCCCAGACTTACCTCTGCTGTATCCAGACCCATCCCCACCTCTGCAGCTCTTTACCTTGCTGATTTGGGACTGCTCGTTCCTTGGCCACCATACCCCTCTTCAGAGGCACGGTGTTTCCAGTGCCACGTCTGCAAGCTGCAGTGGCTTCCTCCTTATTATTTTTATATATAGCCTGGAATTTATATATAGCCTTTCCCCTCTCTCCACTCTTCTAGTCCTGGCTCTTTCCCCACATGGCACCTCCCAGTCATGATGGCCGAAGGAGTGGTTTCCTCTTTCCACCCAGGAGTAAACCCTCGCTGCCTTTCTCAGCCAGCTCTTCTCTTTCTTTTGCGACCTGAGCCAGTGTTGGAAACCAGGTGCAGACAGCAGAGGCCAGTGATTCTGCTTCCGAGTATCTCCTTTGAATGCTTCCCAATGGATATATTAATAGAACAGGGTCCTTCTGACAATATGGAGCTGAACTCTTGCTTGCCCAAGGGCTGCTAAATTATTGGGGTGAAGCACAGTACGTCCTGTAGATTCAGTGGGGGTTTGCAAGCTGAGAATTAAATACCTGCAGCAGACCAGCATGAGGAACAGGCTCTGCTTTGGTCCCGTTTAAGACTGGCTTATGTTTAAAAAGCATGGGGAAAGCCTGTCCTTTGTTGCAAGGCTGAATTCCCCCCAATAGTGAGAGAAATGATAATAATCTGCTGAGATTGGGAGCACTGATATCCATCTGGCTATTATTCCTTCATTGAAACCATGAGCAGGGAGCAAAGTGCTTGGAGTGCTTGCAGGCAGGGCATTTGTGAGGAGTATATACTGTGAATGTGTGTGTATGTCTGACAGCACGCATCTGCTGCGGTGGGGCGGGCAGCAATACTAGTCTCTGTTGGCAATCCTGAGCCAAAAAGCTATCACGGACAAAACACTTGGTGTCATTAGAGTCACACACCTACGAAACAAGGTGTCATTAAAGAGAAACAAAGACTTGAAGGCAAAGGTGGATTTGGAAGGACTGTGGGAATTCCCCTCGGGAGAGTGTTTTGTGAATGAGTAGGGGATAAAAAATCAGTGTATTTCAAAATGGATGGGAAAATAAATCATGGGGATAGAGACAACGCAGCTGGAACAAGCCTTTCCACACAGCCAAGGTGCTCTCAGCATTGCTGGCAGAGATGATGAGGTGCTTTGAATTCCTTTTACAAACCCCCTGTGTCTGTCCAGCCCTAGGATGGAATTAGAGCCACTTGGCTTCAAACCCATACCAAATGGAAAGGCTGCTTTGAAACATGTCACTGGGTAGCAGGAGGGGAAGGTGGGACATTCCTGATAAAACCAGAGCCTGGGCTGTGCCTGGAGAAATCTTGACTCATCTCCCTATTTTCTCCTCTGCTCTTTTCCCTTGTTCTTCTTCAAAGGTTGAAAAAAATGAGGACGGGGACCAAAAGATTGAGCAAGATGGCATCAAACCAGAAGATAAAGCTCATAAGGCAGCCACCAAAATCCAGGCCAGCTTCCGTGGACACATAACAAGGAAAAAGCTCAAGGGGGAGAAGAAGGGAGATGCCCCGGCATCCGAGAGTGATGCTGCCGACAAGAAGGAGGAAGGCCCTGCCGGTGGAGCGGCCGAGAACAAAGAGACCGAGGCTCCCACTGCCACAGAAGCTGCCACCGCTGACAGTGCCCAGCTGGAGGAGGGCAGCAAAGACAGCAGCGCGCCAGCGGAGGAGAAAAAAGGGGATGGAGCCGCCGACACGGGCTCAGAGCAGCCAGCCCCGCAGGCTGCCACTCCTGCTGCCTCCTCCGAGGAGAAGCCCGCTGCTGCCGCTGCCGAAACGGAAAGTGCCACTAAAGCTTCCACTGATAACTCGCCGTCCTTGAAGGCTGACGAAGCCCAAGACAAAGAGGAGCCTAAACAAGCCGACGTGCCTGCTGCTGACACCACTGCCACCACCACCACCCCTGCCGCAGAGGATGCTACTGCCAAGGCAACAGCGCAACCCCAAATGGAGACAGTGGAGAGCAGCCAAACCGAAGAGAAGACAGGTGAGTGAATGCCTCGCTAGGGAATGGGGATCTCCACAAATGGATACCTCCCTTGGTCTTTTGGGGATGCCTCTGAGGTTGGCCAGCAAGAGACCAAGGGTTAAGGGAATCCCCTTGCTGGGCTTTAGGGGTGGAGGGTTGCATGTTCTTCTTCACACCCTCTTCCCTGCTTCCTGGTATCTTTTAGAAACACTGCTTCTCCTTGCAAGGCTTCTATTCCTCTAGGTGGAGGAGCTATCCAGCTCTTTTTTCCATGGTGGCCAGAGAGTGTCAGGGAGTCTTGGAGGAGCCTGGGAATGTTCCCCAAGCTCTTCATATGCTAAAGAGGATGATGAACCTTCCCAGTCACACTAGCACAGACAGCTGCAGTGGGGCAACAAAACAGGCCAAGCTGATACCTGCTCACTGGGGGGTGCCAACTTGAGCTGAAAATCTCACAAGGTAGTTCTCATACTGCAAGAGGCCATTTAATCTTCATGGGATGAAGAAGAGTCTTTTTCACATCTTCTTGTGAATGGATGAGCTTCCTAGCAAACCACTTCTTAGTCAGGAGCATGTTGTTATCATTATAATTCCATCCACACAAATACTTCTAGCCTCTGTACTTGGAGTAGCCCATTACAGCTGTAGTTGCATGAAGCTTTTAGACGTGTCAGCTGGGTCAGACCCTTGTGGTAAGAGGATAAGGTAGGGAAAGGGAAGATTAAAGGCTCCGATAGCTCAGTGAGTGAGGAGAGAAGAGAACATTGAGTGCAAACAGTCACTCTAGGAGATGTTTTCAATTCTTTGCTCTTGACTGAGTGCAACACTGCTTAACTAGTTCCCCTGGGAAGAGGGGAAAAGTTTTGAGAGGCAAAAGTGAACATTTTTGACAGAGGCATAGTGTTTACAAACCAGAAAGAGCTGGTTTTGAATTGTGATACTGAGCTGGGTAGAAAATGCATCAAACACTTGAGGATACTTCAGCTCTTGTTCTTTACCTTCCTTATGTTATCAAAGAGAGACAATGTAAACAACATCATAACATCAGAGGTAGGCACCACATGTGCAGAGGCAGTGTCAAGCATAACCGGCCTCCACATTCATGAGATATTCAGTTGTCCAGGGCATTCTTGCATTCATTAGCTTATTGGGGTAAAAATGGGACATATCACCTTGATATTCATAAACAGCCTGATGTAAATGTTACAGAGCCTTAGGACCTAATCTTGAGCTTACTGGTGTTTCTCCATCATTTCATTTGGTCCACCACTTTTTTCCCACGATTGACAATTCCTACTCTCTAAGCTTCGTAACTAATTTGGGACTTTAGGCGACTCTGTTCCTGCTCAACAAAGTGGACAGATAGGAAAGAACAGGTATCCAAAAAGAGATAAGCATTATGAAAGGGGCTCAGGCAGAACATGTATGATTTAATATAAGAACAAAGGGAGCAGCCTTCAAGAGCAGGAGTCTGGACTGAATGTACACAGCAACAAGGAGTTACTGGTTTTACCTCCCAGTCATGTAAATGTTTCTAGACATAAGCCTTGAAGTTGCATTGTCCAAGTTGGCTTTTTGCTGTCCAGGTCTCCAGCCCTTTGTCTTTTCTTTGTATGATGAATTGAGTGGCAAAATAAATGTCATGTGATTTGTGAAATCTAATTTGGCATGTTGCATGCTATACTTGCATTGTTTTTATACTTGGGCAAAGGCATAAACATTGATGGCAAAAATAGGACAGAGTGAATCAGTGCTTTGGGGTTCTCTGTGAACAGGATAATGAGTGATAATTAACTCTTATTTCAGACTTGGGATGCCTTATTCCTAAACAGGAACAGTGATTCTGCTTTGAATTAACATTCTATTTTTATTCAGGTTAATGTGCTCTAATGGATAGAGGTAGGAAATTCATAGTAGCAGCCTATTTCATTTGCTTAATGTTACCTCGTTTGAGTCACCAGTCATCCAAGAATGGTTTAGTTCTATGTAGTATTCTAAATTATTTGCAGGTATTTTCCCCATGCTCTTGTTCGCTTTAACATCATCTGAAGTGGCTGACCATTCATAGCCACATCATTTGAAGTGGCTATTTAAATGCATGATTTCATATGCATTTGCACATGGTACTGTTACTTACGTGAATATCTGGCCAACAGAGTTAAGTTGGAAAATCTGCAATCAAATATGTATTTTAAAATTAGTTTTCAGTGATTGTTTGAGTGTTCAAGACCCGTATGTGCACCTCTTTATACTTATTCAATATGCATGCAGGAATACTCAAGCTTACCAATGTTTGCAGAAGGCAAATATGGCAAGTGTGTGGCCACAGTCAAACTGATAGTCTCTTTAAAATGTTAATGAATATAGATTTCTTTTCCTGTTCCAGTCTGATATCAGCCTTCCAATCGCAAACTCAAACAGCTGGGTAAGTGCCCCCAGAGCCTTCCAAGAAAGGGATGCAAAAAAGATTAAACAGGCCTTCTTGTCCATCTGAGGATGCTGGGTTGTGTTCTGCAATACACTTTATAGCACAATGTCCAGAATAGTAAGAAGCTGCTTTATCCTTAAAGCATATTTCACAAAAGAGCATCATCACAGTATAGAAGTTCCCAAAGAGAGGAAATAAAACCTTACAGAAAACCTCTTCTGTCTTTTTCCTATCTTAATCCTATTGCTCCCTCTCATCTTTTTAAATGTCCCTGTTTCTCTTTTGGTACTTACTCTTCCCATAAAGACATTTGCCATGTCTCGACCCTTCTCCCAGTCGAAACACAGCACTGGTGGTTGCTGGTATGACCACAGTGGTCATTCACAGAAGAGGGACGGCTACCAAACATCTGCCACTCCAGTAGTCCTTCAGCCGGGGGACAGATCCTCTTTCAGCTCCATCAGTCCCCTTGGCTTTCAAAGGTCACCTCTTCTCGTTCCTGTGATCGAAGACTGGCACAGTAGTATGTGGTGTCAGGCTGCCAAAAATAAATCAACTTGGCTCCTATCCAGTGTCATGGGTTGGCTGATTGCCATGGCATGCTTGGCTGCTACACCCGTGAGGAGTGCTGGCCCTGCTACTTGAGTGCAGTTTTGTTCATCTGCCCTGCATTTACTACAATGGTTCTGTCATATTCGCCATGGGTCTCTTTGGTGCAAACACAAGCAAAAGGGCATTTCATTTCTATCCAGAAGAGATTCTTGCCTTCATCTAAGGGTGGGACAAAAAAAGACAGGAAGAGGGGAAAGGAATAACTAACCAGATAGAGAAGTTCATGATTTTTGATGTAAGAAGGAAAATCTCTTAGTTCTTTTCACATCTTTTGGGTGGCTTATGCCAAAACAGTGTTCTTGTATCTTAGCATCCTCACCAAGACTTAAGTTTATAGGCTTTCTCCTTATGATCCAGCTTTTACCTCTTTGGTGTTGGTATTCTGCTCAGAGAGGCTCCTTTAGATGCCAACCTGCTCAACAGGACAAAATTCAAATGTGATGGGAGGGAATTTATACGTTACATATGGATGAGGAGGTGAGATTTATTCCAACCTAGACTGCATTGGCTTAAATCCGGAGAGTCTCCATCAAAGTTACTGTAAAGAGTCTACATTAGTGTGGCTTTGAAGTGAGATTGGCACCCAGCACGGCAGACTGTAGAAGATGGGGTACTGTGTGGCTTACAGGCGAGAGAGGAGGTGAATGTCACAGAATGTTAGATTCTCTTTGTACTTTCCCAGGTTATCGAGTCTCACCTCCAAATTTGGCTATCTCTCACATCAAAAACACTCTCAGATTGTCAGGTAAGAATGCAACAAAGCCCAGAAATGTGAAAGAGTAAATTGTGCCTAAGGAAACAAATGGATCTTCTTTTGTTGGGAAAGAGGAATGCTTTCTCCCACTTGATGAAATAGCTTTACAATGGAGCAGTTTCACAGATGAAATGAAAAATCAGCCAGATGACAATTGCTTTGCATGTAAGCGGGCCAGCAGTTCCCCCAGGGCCCTGTATCCTGCAAGCGAGGAGCACTGGAAGGCACCATCTTCTCTTTGCTTCCTCTGAGGGAGCAAGTCCCTGTGGATCCTTTTTCATGGCTTAGAGTTGAATCAGCTCTTTATTTTCAGTTCAATCAGCCTATTGATGGAAGGACAATACTTGCTGCACCTAGGGAGCACCGGCTATATAAAGATTTGGAAAGGGAGGCTGTCTGTTGCCGGGTACCAGCCAGACAGTACAGCCTGCACTCTGCAAGAGGACTGCGGTTGTGTAAGTGGAATTTTAGCCTTGGCCCGTGGGTAGCTGGCATGAGGCAGAACATCCTCACTGCCATCCCTGTTTCATGAGAGCTTATCTCTGCTGCTACACCTGGCAGCTGAGGAAAGTGATGCAAATACAGTGCTCTTCCCACGACTGCCCCAGAGGGAACAGCTCTAAGCAAGCGTGCCAGCATTTTCTTGTCTGTAGTACTACTCCAGCAACAAAGTAAGACTATGAATGTGATTTAGGTTACCTGCAACATGCTGGAAGGTGTCAAAGTGTGTGCTTAGTCCTCAGTTGCTCTGACATTTTTAAGCTTTGCATTGTGTCTACATGGGAATAGAAGCCTTGTGTCTGAGTCCAAGCGTTTTATATCCAAAGACCATTGTGACTAGCAACTCACCTAGATAAGGTAAACTTATCAGTTTAGCTTATAAGCCTTATTGTATTGGTTGTACTGGGCTTTGAGCAACCTAATCTAGTGGAAGATGCCCCTGCCTATGGCAGGGGGTTGGAACTACCATGTCTTTAAGGTCGCTTCCAACCCCAACCACTCTATGATTCTATGGGCATAAGCACTGCATATGTATTTCGCAGTCTGCTTTTCAGGTGCAAATACCATGCAAGGGGCAGGGGAAGGAAAGTGGAATGTCATAATTTTCCAGAGAATAGGAAACCTACACACTACCTGCTACAGGTGCAGGATTTCTTCCTCTGTTGTAGTGAAATACTGTCTCTGTCCTCATGTGTGCCTCAGGATTGCTGTTTTCTAATGAGA